CGTCGGCGTGCGTATGACGGCTTCGTCTTGTAGTTCTTGACGACCGTCACCTAGCTGCATCGATCCCCATATTCTTCAACTACGAATTTCTTTTTTCTAATAAATCTATTACTACTTCCCTTGCATCTTCCTTCTCCCAGTCACCAACATTGCGGCCAGCATCCACTCAGAATCGAACGATGAGTCGATGCCCCAAAGTTCGGGGCAAGTCAAGACTACCAGGTTCCAGCTCTCGGGACTCCGGGTACCTTTCTGACGACTCGCCCGAAGACTATGGTTGGGATATTGAGAATGAGACACCGCCCAGGAGTGGACGCCTTCTGGATCGCACCAACTATCACCTGTCTGTAGACGGCTCAGCAGCTGGAGACAGAGGTTCGGAAGATGACAAGAGCACGCACGTGTCACCGTCAACTATACGACGACCGAAGTTGGGCTCTGTGTCTCCCAATCACCCGAGCTCGCCTTCAGTAACGCGCTCCAAAAGGCCACGGGTTTGTAACAGCTCATCGCCCCGCAGCGTTGGCTCTCTGCACAGTCCGGACCGTTTCGTTCCTCGCCGAGACCCTGCCACGCCGTCCTCCGAAAAGATCCGGGTCACCAAAGATCTCGACTCCTTTTCGCCAACAGAGAGATTGTTGAGGCATCAAAGTGCCACGTCGGATCCCTTCCAGAGGCCACAACAACGCGTTGTTGCTTTAGCATCCAACTTTCGATCCATATCAAACTCGATCTACCCAAGTAAGCTGCAAAAACGGCCAACTCTTCAAGATACTAACAACAAACAGTTCCCACGGTTCTGTCTGTCATTCCGCAGAGCCAAAACCAGAGGCCGGATGGCCACGGCACAGCCTGGACCGTTGGCGGTCCGGCCCCTCCTCCTGGAACCGCTGTAGATGATGGCCGTGGTCACTATCTTGAGAGTGGCACGAACGCGCGGTTGTTCACTACCAATTTTGCCACTTCTCGTATCAAACGACGAGAGGACTATGAGCGAAACCAAGGGATCGTCGCCGATGCTTTGCAAATCAACCAGGTTGAGAGACTGCTCGATTTTGAGCATCCGGTCCCCTCGCTGAGTCGAACATTGACACAAAAGAGCCAGCAAGCACAGCTAGAATCAAGAACGCACTGGACTGGAACAAGATGGGTAAGCCCGGAGAAGAGTACTGGCAAGTGTTTTTCTGACCACGCGTGCATTTTGCCTTACTGACGTTTTTTATTGCCGCTTGCAGTTACACGGCCAGTGCAGCACAATCTACCCACCACGTCTTACAAAGTACTTGACGCACCTGGGCTCCGAGATGACTACTACTGCTCCGTGCTGGCGTACTCACCAACTTGCGGTTCTCTGGCTGTCGGGTTAGGCAGCGCCTTATACGGATGGACAGAGCAATTTGGCGCAGTTCCCATCGACTTTTTCCATCACAAAGGCTGGGTCACTTCGTTATCCTTTTCCTCCGTGGGAGGGAGCAAGGCCATCCTCGCTATCGGGAGAGCTGGCGGTCAAATAACTCTGATATCCCTATTCGAGAGTCTACCGCGCATGTCGCTCAGGCAACAAACCTCAGTCAGCTGTGTCAGCTAGCGGCCAACAGTAACAATGAGACCGTCCAAGAACCCAAACGGTTCTGGTGGCCTTGTGCCCACGGAAGACCTGCTCGTCGGCAACGAACAAGGCCAGATCTGTTACTACGTTGTCGAGTGGCCACATACGTGGGAAGTGGGCCGAGACTCTTGGGGTGGCACGGCAACACTGGTGGCGACTATTGCAGTTCATACTCAGCAGATATGCGGTCTTGTTTGGGCACCGAGTGGCCGTGAATTTGTCTCTGGTTCCAATGATAACATGGCATGCTACTTCGAGATTGAGAAGATGCTGAAAACACGCAAGCGCAGCAGCAGCACATCATCCAACGAGACCGTCCGCCGAGGTCGAAGATCAGAAGTCCGCTCGAGGTCACCAGAAATCGCCGGCAACAGCTCCGAAGGCCGGTTTTCTTGGTTACCCAAGAGCTTGGAGTCGTTTCTTTACGGCACATCTGCGAGCGAAGCCACGGCGGAACCAGACGTCCGAGGCAATGGCGGTCACCTTGTTCAAGGACAGGCAGATGAACAGACCACGTTTATTCGCGGATCAGAGAAGCATTGCTAGAGGCATGGTGCCGCAGTCAAGGCAATCGCCTTTTGTCCCTGGCAAGAGACTCTCATCGCTACGGGGGGCGGATCAAGCGACAAATGCATTCACTTTTGGCACACGGGAACAGGCACCGCCTTGGCTACCATTGCCGTATCGGCGCAGGTGACATCATTGATCTGGTCCACGACACGACCCGAGATTGTGGCTACGTTTGGTTACGCAACACCAGATCACCCTTACCGAATCGCAGTATTCAGCTGGCCATCGTGCGAACAAATTGGCGCTGTTGCGTTGGACAATGGCGCTCGTGTCCTATATGCCATTCCGTACCCTGGAGCACCAGCTGATGCAAAAAAGGGAAGTCGGAGTGTGATGGAAGGGAGCATCGTCATGGCTACAAGTGATGAGAACGTCAAGTTCCACGATGTTTGGAAAGACAGAAAGAACGCCCCGATGGGTGGTGTTGGGGTATTGAGTGGCAGCGATATACTCGAAGGACTGGACGGTATTTTCAAGGAGGGGGCCGTCATTCGTTAATGCTTGTGAAGGAGTGAAGGAGTTGAGTAGACGCATTGATAGAATGAGACAATATGCCTCCTAACAGAGTTGCCTTGTGATGGACAAGTAGTCTTTCTGCGTTTATCCCGAGACGACACAGAGCAATTCGACGTCCGCTTGCTGAAGTTCAAAGCCACCGTCAAGGCGGAGATGCAAAGTAACAATCATTGCGGCGCCGTTGCGGGAGCAGGCGTAGAAGAAGAAGAGGACAACTTACTAACATCTCATCGCTACGTATCAGCGCGACACGTACACAAATCAGTGACAAGGCAGAAGTGAGCAGACGAAAAGACGAAAGAAGTTGGAGCAGTGACATCTGTAAGCATGTGTGAGTCTAGACTGTGCCCAGAGCGGGAGTAATCCATGGAAATTCCAGGCTGCCCCATTTCATACCTCCAGCTAAGCCCGACGACCGCAACCCACCAGAAGCGCTACCCCGGTGCGCCCCAGGCACCCTAAATCAGCAGGCGGGCGACTGCATCCCTGTAAATGGCAGGAACCGCAAAGCCGCTGCCTGCACCGCAAACGTAATCCGACCTGCTGGGCGCCGGGCGGACTGTCCTGTCCTCCACATGGCCTCTCAGCGCTTGGTGTCTCAACCCCCGTCCCCGTTCAGGCGTCGCATGCATGAACACCTCCAGAACCCCAAATCTTCAACACATCCGCTCTACATACGTCCGAGTCGTGTTTCGCAGTCCAGATTGGAAAGCAAGACCGCATCGTCGAGTTTTGGAGTCGCACAATTGGCATCGAAGCCGCTTCCTTTGTTCCCTTCTTTTCCCTTTAGACTATATACCGAGGGTACAGGCACACAACGGCAACCATGTCCAGCCTGAACCAGCTCTACCTCCTCGCCGACCACATCAAGCTCTCCCTCCTCGAGCGCCAGCGCGCCCAGTCGCTCAACCTCGATGCCGACACGCAGGATGGTCACATTTCACGCTCCCTGGACCAGTTCCGTGATGGCCTGGAGTTTCTAGATTCAGAGGTCCAGCGCCTCCAGGGCGCCGGCGATGAGAGGTAACCCTTCCCGTCTTCCCGGACAGACAGAGAACCCCATATCTCCAAAACGTCAAGCGACGTCATGTTCCGGACCTTCTCCACCAACATCACCATCAGCCCGAAAGAAACATGCGCTGACCAGAGATGTGATCCAATGCAGCGCTGCCCAGAATATCACCGACTCCCTCCCCGCCCTGCAAAAGCAGTTCTCGGACCTCACATCCCAGTTTCACGGCTTCTCGAACCCGTCCACCTCGTCCACGACCACGTCCCCGAACGACCCGTCCCTTTCTCCCGACTTCGCCGCCGCCCAGTCCACGAAACCGCTCAAGGGCTCCCTTCGCGGCCTCCCCGCCGGCGGCTCCGCGAACAAAACGGTACGCTTCACCGACTCGCCCGCCGCCGCGGAGGACCCCAATGCGGCCGCCCTCTTCGGCGAGGGCCGCTACCGCGATGATCCGACGGACTCGGCGGGGTACCGCGACCAGGCCGAGGGCATGGACAACCAGCAGATCCACGAGTACCACTCGCAAATCATGCGCGATCAGGACGACCACCTCGACCGGCTGGGCGAGTCTATCGGGCGCCAGCGGGAGCTGAGCATGCAGATCGGCGACGAGCTGGATTCGCACGTGGCGATGCTGGACGAGGTCGACGGCGTCGTGGACCGGCACCAGGGTCGCCTGGACCGCGCGAGGCGGCAGCTGGGCAAGGTCGCGAGGGACGCGGGGGAGAGCAAGCAGATGATTGCCATCATTGTGCTCATCATCATTTTGGTTCTGTTGATTGCTATCCTGAAATGAGCTTGAGGGCCCTTATGAACAAGGTCTGGCGGGTTTTTTTGGGGTCGTTGAATTGAGGGTCAGACATTACGTTCTGGCCATCATTGGTTTTCTTGTCTTTGATTCCGAGGCGCATAGCATGGTTTGGCGTTTGGGGAGTCTTACGACTTTGTAGAATCTTTCGTTACTCGGGATGACACCCAACGGCATACAACTCTTGATCATGGGTTCTTCAGCTGTCGCATCTCATAAGACGGTGGGCGCCCTCTTACTTGGCTACTCAAAAAAGGTGAATGACGGTCGGTAGGGGACGTGCTGTGGTATTGCCGTCATGGCGGGACGATAAATGTCAAACGTTCAATTCAGCAACCTCTTTGAACCAACGCATGTTATAGACTTAGGTTGCTGGAATGGCATGAAGCCTTCGGCGTCAACTTGGGCGGTGCGAGTGTTGAGGACATAGATTGCGATGCGGCTCCCAGGTCTCCAACAAACGGGGTTGCATCGTTAGTTCCACTGGTCTATTAGTCTAGTTGGTTAGGACGTCGGATTCTGATTTACACTCAGATTCTTCCGTAAGCCCAGGTTCGAATCCTGGATGGACCTAATCTTTTGCCTTTTGCGTCAATTCACACCACAAACTTCTCAGTTTTTTCTGTTGTTATCACTTGGTTTGTTGTTTTTATACTTCATCAGGGTTGGCGCTTAGATTTGACAAGGATAGCGAGCAGATGCTAAACTTAGGTGGCAGTGCTACCCACCCAGCCCCTTCGCCAGTATCTCACAAAAAAACCCTACTCATCTTTGTCAGATCCAAAGGAACTGCTTGTCGTTGTTTTTCCATTTCAACTTCGTCTGTGCCAACTAGTCAAAGCAATGCCGACGACGTCTTCTAAGAAAACGAAATCTTGTGTTCCCGCAACATCGGGTGATTTGTCACAATCATGTCATGAGTCCCATCCCTCCACCCATCACGCGGTTTTAGAAGTGAGAGCACAAAGCTCACCACGAACAGACCAAAATATCAAGAGTCAAAACTTTGTCCGAAAACATGACTGCTCTTGAGTCCTTTCATGACACAGCCACATCTTGCAATGGGTTGTGTGTCGTGGTCAGAAAAGGATTTAGTTGGCCTTATTAGTCGGCCAGCTTGTCTTCAGGCCAGGCAGCACATATCTGACATTGAATACCCATGAAGTAGAAAAACCACTTCAAATACAGGAATCCAGTCTACTATATAATCTCACAAAAGGTGCATCAGTACTCGACCATAGAAACACTCACACACATACACAACATGCGCATCTTCAGAAACCCCCCATCGGGCCTCGACGCAATCCTCGACCGGCCCCCCGAAACATCCTGGGACCGCCTCCTCGCCTCCCCAATCACCACCATCGCACGCTACCTCTCCACCTTCTTCCCCGTCTCCTTCCCGATCGTTCCCCGCGCAGACGACGCCGTGACGGTGGTCTGCATCTCCGACACGCACAACATGCGGCCGCGCCTGCCGCCGGGCGACATCCTCGTCCACGCGGGCGACCTCACCGTCTCGGGGACAAGAGCCGAGCTAAAGGAGACGGTGGAGTGGATCAAGGCGCAGGAGCATCGGTTCAAGGTTGTGATTGCGGGGAACCATGACCTCTGTCTCGACGAGAGGTTGAAAGAAGGGGAAGAGGAGGGCGGGGTGGATTGGGGGGATGTGGTGTACCTCGACTGCGCGTCCGCCACGCTCAAAGTGCCGGTAGGCGGCGCCGGGGGCAAGACGAGAAGTATAAAAGTGTACGGCAGCCCGTACACGCCGCAGCACGGGAACTGGGCGTTCCAGTATCCCCGGTCCGGCCCGCTGGACCCGTGGGCGGGGACGGTTCCCGCGGAGACGGATGTGTTGGTTACGCATGCGCCGCCGAAGGGGCACATGGACGATCCGAGGGGAAACTGGGGGTGTGAGATGCTCTTGAGGGAGTTGTGGAGGGTGAGGCCCAGGTTGCATGTCTTTGGGCACGTTCATTGCGGGCACGGGGTTGAGGCTGTTGGGTTTGATGAGGTTCAGGGGGCGTGGGAGGATGTTGTTCTTGAGGTGTCGAAGGGGGGGAGGGGATTCATGGCGTTTGCGAGGATGGTGAGGGCGTGTATTGGCGTTTGGTGGAGGGGCGGTAGGAGGGGGAGAGGGGAGACGGTGCTTGTGAATGCGGCTGTTGTGGGTGGGCTTGGGGATAGGTTGGTTCGGGAAGCTGCTGTTGTGAGGATATAGAGTCGATGTTAGTTGGGATAGAGTCATTCGATAGACAAAAAGGCAATTGGGATCAATGGTTTTGCGCAGTACTCGAGTCGTATCTGCAAGTCAGGGGCCAAATCGACCGCTGATGGGCAACTTGCATCATAAGGAAGGGTGAGTTTACAGTCCTAGAAATACTATAAAGACTCTTTCATTTTCTGCGTACACAAAGTAAGAACAAACGCAATACCGGTGAAGCCGCTATCGCTGTTCCAGAAAAGACCCGTTCATATGGATTCAGTATAGGATGGGCAGGCGTGCGCCCTTTTATATATGTCAGACCTAAAGGCAAACTTTGTGGCTCTCTCTGGCATCCCCGTCGTTCCTCATGTGTTGCGTTGCTTCACACGTAAAATATCTCACAAGGCTGCAAGCAAGGGCCCCTGCATAAGCGCTGTCGATACACCATGATCATATTGAACATATATTCATCTACTCTCAAGCTTTAAGAACTCTTCGCAAAGTAAAGGGCATTTATGCAGTTGAGATAAATGAATAGCATCGCAGATTTATAGCTGTTCCAATATTTTCAGGCCAAATTTTGACAAATGTAAGTCTTTCTAGCCCCTGTGCTAAGCTATAGAGACAGCAGACGCGAATTAATGAGACGATATCAAGCTCTCGAACACAGCTTTCTTCGGCAGTGAAACGCTCCAATAGCGGATCTAGAAGTCAGATGACTACATGAAAGCAGTCTGCTCCGTTTCGATATGACCGGTGGGCATGTACACCGTTCAAATACATAGACAATTCCGACAGTGGCAGAGGATAGTTTTATGTAATACGGTAAAAAGCTCTTGTGGATTGTGGATGCATGCACCGACGATCCGTCCATGTTTGAGATCTTTATCCGGATATAAAGACTGACTCAAGCAAGGAAATTGCTTTCCGGTGTTGGTATTGTCTGGTTCGTCCATTTCAAATGACACAAACAGAACTATCAAGAACCTTCCAGCTTGGTACTTCAGAGACACAAAATTGACCTCGTTAAGAGCGAATCAGGCTTGTTGGATCATAATAAAAAAAGAACTTCAAGCGAAGCCGGTTGTAATCGACCACAAATGAGCTCCTGGTCAATCCATAAATGCTACATTCACTAGCAGAATCGCGTCTCTGATGTGAGTACTGCGCTGCATGTTGTGATGCTGAACCCAGACGGCAGGCTTGGTTTCAGTGGGCTCTCTTGTCCTAGGTTCCATCCATAGAATACTCCACAAACAGTAGCGGGAACGCTGACTTGTTCAACTGAGAAGAGTCTCAATGTTGCGAATGGGGCATGTTGCCGTCGGCGATTATGAAGATGGCAGAGTGTAGCAAGCCATGGAGACACATGCGATTGTCCCCTTGAGCTCTAATGACAAATCCTGGCAAGATATAGTTTCTCGAAAAGGAGTTGACTCCAGACATCAGCCAACAGTGGTGGAGGCTCAAAGAAGCAATAACAGACCGTAGTTCTGGATCATCTGCTCTCATTCCGGGAAACATATGCAGAGACCAGCTAACAAGTCTTTTTGAGATATCGACCGCTCACGATAATGGGCCAACCAAGTCGAGCAGAGTACACGGAATTGCATGGAGATGTCAAGACAACACAACATCGGTCGCTCTATTTAAGAAATCGAGACTAGGAAGTCTCACACTTTCTTCAATCAAATCAAACTTGTGATCTCCGTGGAGTTCTCTTTAAGTTCGACGCAACAGCACAACTAAGAGCAGTCTATCCCTCGCTGTCTAAACACAGATTCGGAATCATCAGCTTACTTCTCCGCAGCTATATTCGGACATGAATAGCCCGACAGAGAAGATGAGATACAAGTCTTATCCCTATGCGGGTCATGGGTAGACGAATAGCGCCTGACGATCATGATGATACCGCTCTCAGTTGTCGACCAAGGCTCACACCCAAAAGTCGCCCATCCCCTGCAAGAGCCATATTGTGCTCTCGAGAATGCGGTTTTAGGACTTGGCAGCATACTTATAAGGTTAACCGAGGACGTTGCTGTCTTTCGAAATACTGGCAGTGAGCCTGACAAAGCTCAGAGAGACGACATGACAACGCTTTACATCTCGTCTGTAAAAACCCATCGTAGGCTCCAAGTCATGGACTTCTCAGAATCCGTTTAGCTGTTGAATTCACTGAATGTTGAGAGAAGTATACTTGGTTTTCCAAGTGGAGCAGTATATCCATTGGCACTTCAAGGACAGCCACAGCAGCAGGAAAAGGAACCAGCCTACAGCGGTTGCTGCTTGCCATCTTGGTCGGCGGAGTATTTTGTATAATCAATCTCAGACAGAGACGACCTTGGGGTAAAACATCGCCTCAAATCATTGAAAAGCAACGAGCAAAAACAGCACGTTGTTCTGGTCTGGCTAATCTTGGCCTCATATAAAAGTCAAGGACGCGCGTTGTACACAATTGCTGAACATTCTTCAGCCAATGTCTCTTTTTATAGAATAGTATCAGGTCTCTCTTGGCATCTTTATAAGTTATGCCCATGCCCAATAGCCAGTTTCCTAAGCAGTAGGCTTCTTCCGAGCGGCTAGTTTCTCAATGTAGAGCAGGCATCTCCCATCGAAGGAGAAGTCAAGCAATGTGACCAGAATGATCCAAACACAACGAAGACATGAGCTTCTGTCGACGGCGCTCATCCTTTCCCAAGTATTCGCGTACAGGCACCGAGAAACATAGGCGGAGGCGTGGCTGTATGGGCATAACATAGCCCCTTGGATGACGAGGAATTGTGATAGCCTGCTCTCAAGCCATGCCTTTCCCCGCCAAGCAATCTGACCGATACCCTCGAAGACAATGAATGGCTTGCTCATCCTCATCGTCTCCCGGTATCACTTAAATACCCATACTCGCCACTGGAACTCACGCACATGCCCGTTCGAAAGACGCACTCGCCAACCGATATAGGGGTTATCTAAGCACCGCCATGCTCAAGGCTCTGGGCCAGCGACCAAAAGATTCGGGGTGCCAGCCTACCGGAGTTCGCTGTGTGGAAAACAAAAACTCTGCTAAGGACAAGGGTAGACGAGCCTGGAGTTGACCTCTACATGGATAGCGGATCTTCGTCGCTGGCCTTGACCCCCCTCGCTCTGCTATTCGCCCAGGAATATCCCACGACACTTGAGGCGAGAGACTAGAATCCTCCGGAGGTTGAACTTGCTGCGTCGGGCTTGTGAAAGCGTCTGTATCTGCGGCCATGCTAGGTCGAGACCAAAGAGCACCTGATTTGTGCTGCAGGGAGACCATGACGATCGGATTCCGACATATATAGTCCTCGCCGTAGTTGGAATACACATTGCACCTCCGCATCCCAGGACC